CCGAAAACAAGTAAACAATAAAATGAAATATGAGAATTCTGACTTTAAAAAATCTTTACTTAAGATTGCATCAACTCTAAAGATGAAAATTAAGTTTACTAAATTCTTTTATATGCAAGTAAAAGTAAATGTAATGACTTAGATAATATATATAAAGAGATTTTTTCCTTGCCAATAATTCATAATCAGTGTAGGATTTCAAAATTTGTTTAGAAACTTAAATGTGATATTGTGACAAATAGGAACGTACTTATTTCTTTACTTTCTTTTAAATTGTGCAAAAAACATTGGCTAATCTAAAGTTGGTGTCAGCATGTATAGTAGTTCTGGGTAGATTATAATCTCTCACTTATAAATTACCTACTGTGCTTTCTCTATAGGACCTACCAGTGACTCTTAGTTCTAATTTCTAAACCAATTTGATTAAAGAATCTTTCCTGTCACTCTAAAAACATCAATTCTACACTCATCAAATCTTATCTCCCTATTTATTTGCACTCCCATTTAGATGATCGTGACTGATCTTTCCAAGGTAGAATGTGACACTCACAAGTCAAGAAATCTTAGCCCTTTCGGGTCTATAAGTTCCTCAACAGGTTTTAACAATAGAAGTGGCCAATTTGTAAAGTAAATGAAGGACCAGTATAAATATCATCACAATTTTTTGCTTTAAAAAATGTTCTAAACAAAACAAAATCACTTACTTAATTACTTCATATTGTAAGGAGAAAGAAAATAAAACTACTCACAAAGAAAGGGGATAACAAAACAAAACGTATTTATAAAATTCTAATCTAAAGTACAAAACTTAAGGACAAAGATATAAATACTTATCTGGAATGTTCCCTCAAGTACTCCACCAAACTTTTATGACTTCTCTAACTCCAACACTACTTACAAGACTAACAAACTCCAGAAATAACAAAGACTCAAAAAAAATACTTCTCACACACTTCACACTCACACATTATAAGACTTTATAGATCCATCCCCTTATCCTCTTGGAATTAATCTGTAGTTATAGAGCTTCAAAAATGACCCAAGGGTTCCTTCAGACATCTCTTCAAAATTCAGCATCGTTCAATGATTCTTCTAGAAGATAACTGTGATGCCTAGGTGACAAACTGCACTCCTATGTGCCAACCAATTTCTACTTCTGGCGCTTAGGCACTAGTTCAGCTAGTTTGGTACTTTTCTTCAATTTAGCCCACTTTGCTTCTTTTCAATATATTTTTACTACTTTTTACTCTTATACTCCTTTTCTTGCACCTGCAACCAAAAACAAAAAATATCTTTCATTAGAACATAATATCCTCAAAAATTGAGTATAAATGTGCTTAAAAAAATACGTAATTTTAAGGTGGATCAAGTTTGGTACCTTAGGACCGATTAGTCTTATAGAGATGGCACAGTGGGTAATCTGGGAGAGGTTAGAACCCAGCCAGAATAACCTGAGAGAATTTGGAACCTTTGGATTAGCCAATGATCTTTATGCACTCGGAGATGGTGAAGAATAAGTATGCTCCTATTTGTCACAAAACCACATTTTTAAACTTTAAACATGTGTACATTGATTATAATCTCTTTGCAAGTGGAAAGACTTTTCATATTATTCGAACTCCTTTACACATAACTAGTTTAGAAAAATTGCATTTACTTTTAGCTTTAAATTAGAATGAGCAAACTTTAGTATTTAACCTTTTACAAACATTTTGATATTATTCTCCTACAAATTTTATTTGCAGTTTTAGTAGAAATTCTTCTAATTTAAAATAGAAATTTTAGACTTCCCTGTGAGTTTGAAATTGTGGTTTTTAATGAAAGCTCTATATTACTTGAAATGATACGTATACTTGCGTAGTACCCATAATGTGGAAGCCATTAATCAAAATTCTAAATTCTATAACATATCTGTTTTGCACACTAGTCATTAAATATAAATTTGATAAAGTTTTTTGCCATCTTTTGAAACTTAATTAAATGTGTAATTGCAAATTGGTCACCTTACACTTATGTAGGTGTCCTAAGATAAAGTAACAAATGGTTATTGATAAAGACATCTCGAACCATTTAATAATAATCAGATTTATATTCACCATCACAATGGTAATAATGGAGATCTCAAATTTTTCAACTAATTAATAGTTTAAGGATACTAATGTACCCAAGATGATGAAAAGTTACCGGCATCTTAACTAGGGTTGTTATACCAAAAATTATATTAGTTTACCTACTAAGCCTCATGATAAAGTCTAGTTTTATTTTAGGGTTAGGATTTCACTTCCATCTTGGAATCCTTCCAGCATGTCCTGCTCCTTATTCTATTAAACTCCAATCAATCACATCTTAAGCTTCAATTAGTACTCATTATCAATCATATCTTAACTCCAATTAAGCCTTCAATCTCAAATCAAACCAAATATATTTCAATCAATACTCTTCCAAGTTGTTCAAGTTCTCAGCCACAGTAAATCAAGCTTGAATCAGACCTTAGTTATACCGCCTCAATCTAAAACTACTTTCCAACTACAAAATAACTTTCAAAACTCCAAACTTTCCAAGAACCAAACAATAAAAAAAAAATTTTTAAAATGAAATAAAAATTTGAAAACCTTAACACTTTAGTACTTTAAGTCTAAAAAAAATTTCAAAGTAAAAACTTTACAAAATCTTTTAAAACTAAAACATCTTAAGGCTTCAAGACTTAAACTTTCAATAGTTTAAAACCATTTCAGAAATAAACCTAAAACATTTTAAAATCATTTCAAAATTTAAAACTTTTATAAACATCTACTAACTTCAAACAAATTCCAGACCTCAAACAAATTTTAAGTAATTTCAAATGAACTTCAAAACTTCAAACAAACTTCAGCCAACTTTAAACAAACTTTAAGTAATTTTCAATAAACTTCAACAAACCTTAAGCAAACTTTAATTAAATTCAATAAACTTCAAACAAGCTTGAATGAATTTTGAAAAACTTCAAACATTTCGAACCTTCTAATAAACTTCAAACACTTTCAAAAAAAATCGACAACCATAAGAAAAATTCCTCAACTCAAGTTTTCAATTCGAGTGAATTAATCCAAATCAAACTCTATTCAAACCAAATCAATTCCAAGTCAAACCCTACTCAAACCATAATACCTAATCAAACTCTTTAAAACCAAATCTAATCCCTCTAATCAAAAAGCATATCCTATTCCAAAAAATTCACAATTTTAATTCTCAGGGCATACCTTATTCGCATAGATGGCTAACCCTTTCTCAAGGCCTTTTCATTATACATCATCATTGAATTGTAAGTTTTAATCTTTTAATTTTGATTAAATTCTTTCAAACTAATCAATTGACCAGAGATTCTATAATATCAATATTCAAGAAACTTATCATATAATCAAGTCTGACATAAGTAATACTTTAATCAAAAATATTTTCAAAAGCCACAACTCCCAAGAAGTAATTAACTACAAGTGCTTGCCCTCATAGAGATACCAAGCCCCATAGTAAAATAAATTATATCTTACGCCCGTAAGGTAGGTTGAAACTTTTAATTAAGCAAACTTAAATTTTGAAATTTTTCTTCCTGCAAATAGTTAAATTCATTTTAAGGTAATATATCATTCAGGATAGTATAATATTCTTCAAATGACGCATCTGATCATTTAGATAAGAACATTTTGAGGATTGTGGTGAACATGAGAAAGCAACCCCTTTGACCTCCTTGACTTTTCCACCCAATAAAGAGGAACTATAAACATATTGTTTGAGATAAAGATAAATTTCATGATTCAATTTCATCAATTGTATAGTAGTTGCACTATAGAACTGGATTTGCACTTTTAATGATTATATATAAATAATTATATATATATATATATATATAAAGAGAGAGAGAGAGATATATATATTTGTGTGTGTGTGTGTGTGTGTTTAATTATTTCTCTTATGATTATCATAATTAGGTTAAATCCATCAACTTTTTTATTCCATTTTTATTCTTAAGGTTCATTAAAACTTCAATGAATGATAAATTTAGATAATAAACTTTGCACTCTATTATTTAAGATTGTGTCACAACACAAAAGAACTATTTCTTTTTAACTTCATAACGAAGAAACATATTCAATCATATAAATTAATACTTTAACTTAATGTTTTATTATATAGCAAAAATAGGAGTATGTTAATCTTTAATCACAATGCAAATAACTCGAGTATAACTGTTAGTCTATTTATTACTCAAGGTTAAGATGAATTTATACATGATCCTTGTATTGATATAATTTGAACACTTTATATCAAAATGAAATTGTAGGATACTAGTATCACACATTAAAATTTTAGTTTAGACAATCCGGCTCAAATTATTATTGAAACATACTAGCATTTATCAAATTAAATATCATAACTTTACTTTATTTATTACAAACATATTTAGATTTTTTACATTCAACTTTATCCTCTTCCTTGAAAGGGAAAAGGATATATACAATATTTAAAGTCATATTATATTCTTGATATTTTAATAACATTAATTTAAAGTTGCATATACTAATATATACATCAAATGAAAGCACTATTTTATTCTACTAATAAAAAAATTGAATTATTTTCAACGCATTATCTCCAACGACATGGCAAACATCATGAACAATGATCTTATCGGCCAACTGGGTCATCATTGTAATCATGAGGGTAACATTGTTTCTTATGCACAATAACAACAAAGCTTCAAAACAATTTAGTTCTAGCTCTAAACATCATCAATTCAACCATTTTATAATTATTTTAAAGATTTTAGCTAAAATCTTACTTTGGGACAGTTACTACAAAGTGCTATGCATTTAGATATCTATCGCCCAAAGTTTTTTTTCAGTATATTTGACTTTCAATTCCTTCACATCACATCAAAAATATTACCATTTATAACTTTTCAAACTGAAATACACCTTTTCAACATATGTATATATAAATATTTATACATACGACACAATTAACACTCCCATTTAAATCACAATAGTAATTGGCAGATATTTTGTCAACTGGGACTTAGTTCTATCATGGCTCCAAAAGCACAGTACATTTTTTTTTACATTACACTACCCACTGCAACAAATTCTCATAAATATTAAAAGCTTAATTTAAGAGATTCATCCACATTTACTTGGAACCAACATAGTATGACATGCTGGGCTAGAGCTTTCCTTAACAAATAAACATCATAATGTGTTGATACAACCTCCATCTGTTTGCCAAAGGCCGTCCAAAGGCAGCACTACAAATCTCAATCTGTCATTTTAAAAAACAAAAAAAAAGTCAATAAAATAAAAGGTATAGTTCTCGGGGGGTCAAAAAACAAAATACAAAATACACTGAATTTTATACCTATTTTTCACTCGTACGACCTTTAAAAATTAATACCTGATAATTTTCATGCATTTATTCAGCGTATTACGCGGCCTATTCATTTGTTATTTTACCATGCATTTCCCCGTAGATAATTAGTTTTAAAGTATTCTACCAACAATGCCATTTAAATAAATTAGAAATATTACGCATACATTTTTTCCACACATCATAATCAAAATTGGGTCATAATATCCTAACCCAATTTGCATCCAACTAAAAATTGGGTAATACCATCCTAACCAAATTTTTCTTCCTTTTGTGGGGCGTTTGAATTATATATACCATATATATATATATATATATATATATATATATATATATAGATATATATAGATATGTAGATCTAGCCTTTTACAAACATACCACTCAATTCCTATGTTTTTACATGTCTAACACCTAAAGTTTAATTTTCACATTTATACCACCAAAATCATTCATATCATATGAAAAATATCACCATTTTAAAAAATAAAATTCACCTTTTCATGGGGTAGGTAAGGTGACATGCATGTAAAAATTGAAGTATAGGACTTAGATATATAAATACATAGGAATTGTGTGGTATGCATGTAAATCTTTCAAAAATTTTGTAAGAAAACAGAGAAATGGATGCAACAATAGAATCATGCACTAATTCTATCCGTCAATCTCTCTCTTCCATCATTCTCTCTCAACCTCTCTCCACCTCTATGGTTACTCATAAAGCAACATACCTCTGCTTGAAGGCCTACATTTGGCAAGTATAAGAAGGAAATAAGAAATCCAGATAGACCATCCACGCATCACCGTTGCTGATCTGAAGCTGATGTTCCAGTTGGAGTAGCTAAGGGCATGTTGCATGTTGAACCATTATCAGTAGGAGGGGCGACACCCCATTTACCCTCAGATTCCAGTGGCTCGAGTACATGAACGCAACCATCTGTCATGCCTAATGCAAATTGATTTGGCTCTGATGGGTGGGAAGCAATAACCAGTGGATGGATATTTGAGCTGATAACAAATTGAAAACAACAAACATCTTTACATAAGAAAACTATAGAGAATTTAACTAGCAAAAACATCAAAATAGCAATCTGAAATTTAAGGAGGAGCAAGTATACCAGCTTAAGATGTCTCAATGAGCACCAATAAGGGTAAATTTTTCAAAATTTAATATAGTTTGTGTCATGTTTGGAAGGGAAAAAATAATTAATCCACTTCAATTTTATAGAAGACGATTACAAGAAAAATAGAAGGGGAAGACTCCTATATTAGGAAAGGAATAAAATCAAACCCGATAATAAAAAAGAAAACTAGGATTATGTGTTGCGATGGAATATGCACTCGGTTCTTCGATCAATTAGAAATAAAATCACACCGCGACATACCATCACACCAATTTAGAAAATTTGGAATAAAATTTCAAACAAAATCACAACAGAACAATCCCAAAAAAACACACCAAGATTTAGATGGAAATACCCAAGAACACGAAAAAACCAAGGAGCAACACCACTAAAACTTTCTTGTATTACTCGAGGAGTCAACGTCGTCCTTTCCAATGCTCGACCCCTACGCCGATACTTCTTTAGGCCTCCTAGTCGCCGGCTAAGGCTTCTCCCGCATTGTTCACCTCTTCTTCGCATGTCACTCGACTCCAAGATAATTCAGTAGAATTTCTTCCACCTCTCGATCTCCTTCTATCTCGCATCAATTTATATCTCCTTCTATCTCACGTCAATTTATAGGCGAATTGACCTCCTTGGCTTCCTGATCTTTATGATTCATATCTCATTTATTCAACCACCCGACTCCTCGCTTCCGCTTCTTGGCTTCTTCTTTTCCTCTTTTGACTCTTCATTTCCTATTCCACAAAGTAGCAAAACTGTTACATAGTTAACAGTGTATACTTCCACCTCTCATTTACCGGTTTTCTAAAAAATAAACCATAACCAACGATTTATGTGTTAGCTCACAATACTTACGGAGTATAAAATATTTAGCCACTTATGTGACAGGTAGAAAAATATTCCTACCAATCTTTAATATCTTCCCTTATATATGGAGATGCTTTCTTCTTCCCTCTTTGACTTCTGGTTAGGATCTATTGAAGTTATAGTAGGCTACATCTAATCATCCATGTCTCCTTTAGATCTAAAATGTATTTCCTCTATGATAAAATGATGTCCTTCTTGGACCTTGCTACCTCTATGCCTAGAAAATATTTTATAGTTTCTAGGTCTATGATCTCAAACTCCATAACAAGCATTTCTTTGATCTTGAGATCTTCTCTTCATCATCAGCAGTAAAAATCATATCATCCACATTATAGTATCAACGCAGTAATCTTACATTCCTGAATGTGTTTTATAAACAGAGTATAATTAGCTTAACTTTGAATAACCATTAGATTTCATAGTATTAGTAAACCTTTCAAACCAAGCTCATGGTGATTGCTTAAGCCCAGAGAAAAACTTCATGTGTTTGCATACTAGGCGTTTGTCGGAATCATTCTCAAGTCCTAATAGTATCTCCATATACACTTCCACTATGAAATCCCCGATAGGGACCAAATGTTGTGAATCATTGATGAATCATGTAAGTATGTGTGTCATTCAAGGAGTCTACGGATCATGGATAGTGTGTAGAACCCTAAAAAAATGAGCGAATTTCCAATAATGAAAACTTTCAATTTACTGGTTTTCAATATAGCTCGAGTGTTCAATGCTTCATATTTGTGAAAAGTCATTACTCCTAATTTCAAAATAATATTATCATAAGCTAATGAGACGATTTCAAATAACTTTTCTATTCTTCGAAATATTCTCTTTTGAACAGTTTTTGAAGAAATATAAGTCTGAATTTATGATTCGAATTAAAGGTGGTAATCAAGAGCAATACTACTTATTTCTTTCTAAGCGTCTGTCGGCCGTTGAAATTCCCTTCTTTTGAAAACTATACGTAGTTTTGATTTAATTTAATATATATATATATATATTGATTTTCTTAAAAATAATATTTAATTTTTGAAAAATGAGACTGGACGAATTCATTCATTTAATAGTTTAAGTAATCAAACATAACATCGCAAGTAATGCACCTATCCCGAGGAATATGCACATTACTTGATAGTGAAACTCAATTAAATAAACCACAGAATTTATGACATACGTCTGGTCTGCGAACCATTTTTTTATATAAGTCGACAAGTTCTTTTATCTAATATGGAGGATTAGATAGTGTTTATATTACCTATGTTCTTAAAACTCCTAATAGAGGCAAGCTCTTATAGTTAATTATCTCTCAAAGAAGTCATTTAAGAGAACTCTCGATGATGATCAAAGGTAAATACCTTCATGAATTCAAAGTTTAGGGTTTTTAAGGTTGGACATAGAAAAGTCAAGTTTGGGAAATGGACCAAATGAGAACATTTATTTCTGGAGTCAAAGGAAAGAAAAGTAGGGGATGTCACGAATTCTGAAGAGAACCTCGGTGACTTCCCAAACTATCCCATTGTTTGTTTTCAAATTCGAGAAGATGTTATTTGATATTTCATTCTGTCAATTTAATTATTTAGGACTTATATTTTCGTGACACGATCATAAAAATGACCTGAAGATATTAAGGTTTACATCGTATCGAACGACAAACTCAGAACATAAAGCGAGTTAGGACTTAAATTACACAACCTGGCTGTGCAAAGGCCTAAAAGATAAGGTGAGGATTAATGTTGCGTTAGACAGACCACCCTAAAATCCTATGACTTATTTAATTCTAAAGAAAGGTTTGCTCTTGTAGAATTGTTTGTTCTTTCGAAGTTGTTCTTCTGTACATCCTCGCCTTGCTGCCCACGGTGTCAGCTCCAAACTCCACGTCGTAGGAGTTTCAAGTTTAATGTTAAGTTTAAATATACATGCAATTATTGGATCGATAGTCTGCTGCTGGGTACCTCCTATAAAATCATATTACTGTCATCCTATTCAAAAAGGTATAATACATATGAATAAAAGAAACAGTAGGAGGTGCAGTAAAGGAAGCAGTAAAAAGTGCAGTAAGAAAAGCAGCAGTAAAGAAAAAATAGTAAATGCACAGTAAAGAAAAGACAGTAAATAGTGCAGTACAGACAGTAAAATGCTATAAAAATAAATCTGTGTACCTGACGGGTCTGCTGGTCTTGTAAATGGAATTAATGTTGCAGGTAAAAACAAACAAGTATAATGGAGAGTTTAGCAGATGGGGCAAACATACATTTGTGTATAAAAGAACAAGTGGGAATGCATCTCATGAAAGACTTAAAAGAAAAATTGAGAGAGACCCATGGAAACTCAAAGAAAACCATAGGAAATGCACGAAATATCGAAGAAAACCGTAAGCACTCATGTCGGGGTGGACTCAGAATCAGGACCCTGGGTCGAGATCAAGACCCTGGGGCCCTAATAAAACAGTCAGCACCATGTATGTGTGATCCAACACTAAGTAAAATGTTGCCGACCTAAGAGACACAGAAAATGGAAATCCCTAACCTGATTCATATGACTGACCCATGAATTTTTCATAAAATATTCATGAAGGATTTTATTTTTTTTAAAAGAGATTTTTGATTTGTCATGCGCTTTAAAGATTTTTTTTTAATTAATGTGTGTGTGTGTGTGTGAAGAAATTTTCAAACCTTAGAAACTTAATGAGTCATTGTGTGTGTGTGTGTGTGTGTGTGTGAAGAAATTTTCAAACCTTAGAAAGTTAATGAGTCAGTCATATTGCTAGGTTAGAACCTCCAACTGTCTGTAAAAATAAGGGTTAACTCTTTACTAAGTATTAGAGAGACGATAATATCAATCTCTCATTCTCTCAAGGTCACTGAGTGAGGATTGTGCTAGATCTTCTCACACATACCTAGATGTCTTTTTCATCATTATCCTTGAACCCTAAAACCGTCCAACTTACAACCTTACTTGATGGTTCATATATAGTCAGGGCTATATATGTGTGCTTATGTTTCAGACGTAAACACCTAAATCAAACCAAGAAGCAAGGAAAGAAAAGAAGAAAAATAGGGTGAGAGAGATGAGAGACTAATCCACCTAAAATAGCGAAGAGGTGAAAGATGGATCGACCCTCAAAACCGCATCTAAAATAATTCCCCACATCCAGCAATGTGCATCTCGAAAGGCACATTTAAAACTTCCCAAAGGATGCACCGAAAGATTTCCAAACTCGCATTAAAACGGCATCCAAATCATCTTTCAAAACAGTGCTAAAACCGGCCCAAAAAAAGCCAAATGAATTCCCAACTCACATAAAACAACTTGCACGATTTCGAATTTTGCATAAAACAAAATCGCCAAAGTTTCAGAATTCTCGCAAATGAGACGGTCATGTTTCAGATCTTCCATTTCTTTTCCACTTTTCTATATCCCCAAGCAACTATATGTGCCTTTATATGAGTGTCAATTTTTACAATTTAATCTTAGCTGCCAACTACACTAGTTTCCCTTGTATTGGCAAATGATCCGTTTATTGTTGTTTCATCTTCCAGAAAAAAAAAAAATATTTTATGCATCAAATATATATATGAGCATGTAAGGCTAAGTGGCATGAATGTAAAAGGGACAAATTTGAGTGTTAAGGATGTAAACACATAGAATTGTGTGACGTGTATGCAGGTTTCCCATACAAACAAAGATTCTTTTTAGCTACCCCTCTTGTTTTCAAAAAAACAAAGAGCAACCACAGATTCAATAAGTCAGCGGTAGAGAAACAAGGGATCAGCCTCCACATAGAATAACATTGATCGATACTTCATTGGAAATAGGCCAGTCATAATTGATGTCAATCCACAGGAGGATTCAGCATCTCAACTTATAAAATATTGAGGAATTTGGGTGGTATAAATGTAAAAAGAAAAGTAAAATTTAAGTTTTAGAAATGCAAAGACATTTGAATTTGTAGGTATGCATGTAAATTTCCCAAAATAATATAGCTTGAACTCCCTGCATTCTTAAAAAAAAAGA